TGCCCCCCCCCCCCCCCCCCCCGTAAGTAGAAGGATGGAATTATTTTTAGAGTGGTTTGAGTACTTTTTTTCCTTCTTTCAATTTTGCATTATCTATTGGCGGTGAGGTTTTTTCTTCAAACAGCCAGCAAACTATTTTGCTTTGATTCTTGTTGCCATGTGGAAATCTGTCATCTTTTAATTCTGAATGCATATTACATACTAGCTGGAAAGTGATATTGTAAAAAGTTAGTAGGCACAACTCTGTTTTGTCCAACCATTAACAGATTTGTAGAAGAAAGCTAAATAGAATTTCAGATGACAGAGCATTGTATGCAAATTTAAGCAAGTTATATTCCATGTTATTTCCATGAGAGAAATACATTCATTTTCTGCCTTTACCATGATCAAATGCTTCCTGTGTTCAAGCAATGCACTAGAGTTTTGAAGGCCAAATGGATCAATCTGCCCTACCCAGGAATGTGTTTCTGAGTAGTTGAACCCCATGTTTCAGGCAGGCAAGATATTTAAATCAAATAACCATTCCCAAACTCTGAAGAGCACTTTAGTGTGTTTTAATGTCCTCCTAACAGCCGTTTTTGAGGGCAAATATAAAAAAAAAGTTACTTACCAACTTTTGAGATTGAGAAGGACTCATTGGCCCCATAGCCCATGCTCTGCTGTAGGGGGTCTATAAGGATGCAAGGGCCCATTCCATAACTCCTTATTTGATGAAGTACCCAAACATTTCTGTTTTATTTTATATATATATATGTAGCTGCTCCTATGAGACCCACACAATGAGGTTTACTTGAATGTGGCAAAATTTTATTATAATGTTTGTGAGATTGACACACCTGGATCATCTCAATGATCTACTGTAGTTAAAATTTTATGTTTGTGTTTTATTTTACTTGAAAAAGAAAGTGTTTACTTGGTTAACTTTCAACATTCTGGTCAGCGATCATGATAAAGAACTAACTAACTGCCATTACCTGTCAGGATATTTCAGCATTGAAAACATTTGCAAAATCAGATTTGAGATCAAAAACAATTATGCCAGTATCCCTTTGTTCTCTAATTTTAGGCAAGCTAAAATGTCAATAGGAAAATGAGTTATGTAACTGAAACATTTGCTCAGGGCTGTCCAGTAGATATATAAAGTTGGGCTAAAAGAATTAAGATGTATATTAATCTACTAAAATTTGCTTTGGGGACAAGCATGCTGAGAGTTAAAGTTATGTGGGTTGATTTTTGTTTATGTTTTTTGGATTTTGGTTCTAGTATGTTAGGGCATGAAAAAGAGCATGTTGAATACAACCATATCTTCTAGAATGGAGTGATAGTTCTTCATCATTCTGTGAGCTGTCTTCATACTCTTGTCAGTATCCCAAAAGCACTCAGGCCAGAGCTACCTTTGTGCATCTCCCAGGAGTTTGAGCCCAGTGAGATTTTTCAGTGCCAAATTACAAATTGCTTTTGAAGCAGGAAGGGTTGCTGTTTGACTAACTGAAGTCCAAACTCTCCTTGCCTGTATAGAACTTGTCCAGTTCTTTGGATTCCAGGTTCAGTCTATTAAAAAGAAGACACATGAACTTATTTCTGTTTTAGTTACTGGACAGAGTTAAAGAAACCTGTATACATGCTTGAATTCATTTATGCCTATAATAATATTGTGTTTATTGTTTTTTATATATATTTATATTGAAGATTTCATACGTTCTCTCAAATTCCCTATTTCCGAATACTGGTATGCGGTGGGGATGGCACAGTTGGATGGGTCCTTGGTGCCCTGGAAGAGATCAGGCACAAGCTCATCTGCTCCGAACCATCTGTGGCTATTTTACCTTTAGGAACAGGTGAGGCTAAAACTATGGATTTCAGGAACAAAAAGGGCAATTGATGAAGATCCCCATATGCTCATAGATTCTGTCCTCCCGCAAATTAAGTTAGAATGGTTACTGCTGTAGCAAACTGATGTCATTAAGTTGTTTCCAAAGGCAAGTTCAGCAAACATCTCATTTTACTTTTGTAAGTGATTATTAAAAATGCATTTGAATCAAAGTAGATGTGGCAGAACTACAACTCCCCGCAGCCCGCACCATTGGTCATTTTGGTGGGAAGATAAATAAAGAGTGGTAGGCATACTGAAATTCAGGTTAATTTAAAGTAAAGGCTTTTTCTTTTGTAGATTTTTTTTTTTTTAATGAAAACATGCCCTTTTTGATCAGGTAATGACTTGGGGAGGGTCCTGCGCTGGGGTGCTGGCTATAGTGGCGAAGATCCGTACTCCATTCTGATATCTGTAGATGAAGCTGATGATGTGCTTATGGATCGCTGGACCATCCTTTTAGATGCTCAAGAGGCATTGGAAAGCTCAGAAAATGGTGTATTAGAACCGGAACCTCCTAAGGTACTTCTCAATTTTTCCTTCCTGAAACAACAACAACAAAAGTTAAAAAAAAAAAAAAAAGCAAGAAGCTGAACATCCCAAACTCATTAATATATTGAATGATCTAATCATTAAAGATTAAAGCAGTAGAAGACAGTTTGATTGTATTGTAGTGTCCTTCTCAGATGCCTCCTATTAAGCAGATTTTGGGATAGAATTTCAGCTCTCTGCGCCACCTTGTCCCTGAGGTATGGTCTTCTCCTCCATTTTCTCTTCAGTTTCTCTTCTGCTTGCCTCTTTTTCTCACCATAATTAGTCTTTCTCACTCCCTGTTCCTCTTTTCTGATGAATATGCAGCTCATGGTGAAACTTCCTACTTTAAGGACAATGCAATGTTAATGGAATATAGTCTATGTTAAAAAAAATATTTATAACCAATACTCTGGTTCCCTGTGAACAATGTGATTTTATTTTGAAAGGCATATAAATGTACTTGTTACGGTGCTTTTGTTGCATATTTTTCCTAATCAGAAAATTTCAAAGTTATGATAAATGGTAATTAGGATATATATTTGATTAAGGTTAATGTAATTACTAAATTGGTAAGATTTTTATAAAATCCTTGTAAAATGGATTGCAGTTTACTTTTGGTTCCTTTTTGTAAACCAATAAAGCAACAGTGGAGCAAACTGTTCTGTTCTAGGATAAGCACAGTAAACTTTACATTATCCGCCACATAAAATGAAATCACCAGCTTTCTTATGTAGCTTTCTGAAATACGTTATAGCAAAAATGTTTGGGATTTAATATGAAATGTGTCATATTTCTTCAGAGGGTTCTCAAGGAAGATTATATTAATCTGATTTGTCCAAAATCACTCGGAAGAATCATGGCTATAAGCCGGGGTCCAATTCTTTCTCCCCCAGATCCAGTGCTTTTATTTTGTAGAAAACTCACATACTTTGTGCAGGGAGATGATAGACTTAAAACAAAACAAATGTTTGGCAATGTAGAAAAAGGAGAAAACAACAGATAAACTGGATGCTAAAAATCAAGGATATTACTGGATTGTCCTTGGAAATGCTACGAGTTCTTATTAGTCCGGTCAAGATAGATATTTGTCTTATTAAAAACAGATGTCAAGATAACATTTGTACATTCAACTAGGAGCTGAACCCAACTTGATGGGATCTGTTGTATAGTTCTTTTAAGTTGGAAGAGTTTGTAATGGAGATGTTCCTGTGTATTTGTTAGAAATTAGAAATAGTCTAGTTCAAAATGTGAAACTTCATTTCTACTTTTTTTTTCAGATTGTACAGATGAATAATTATTGTGGCCTTGGAATTGATGCAGAGCTGAGTCTAGGTTTCCATCATGCTAGGGAAGAAGAGCCAGACAAATTCAATAGCAGGTATTTGACATTTTTGAGAAAAGGAACAACCTCTCTCCCTATGCATTGAGAAGAAACATGTTTTATCTCATTAATATTGCTGAGGATTAATTACTTTTTTTTTTTACCCTCTAATAATAACTGTGGCATTAATTGACTTTCCTTCAAGACATTAGATATGGCTGGAGACTAGATGGGGGTTCGGAGTTGCTCTGTGGAGTAAGAAAGACCTAACTCACATTAGTTTGCAACATTGGAAATAGATGGGTGTAGGATCTATTTTTGTGTGACTTTTTCCATAAATTTTGTGCAGATAAGAACTATGTGGCAGGATAAGTGATGTATATTGAACCTATGCACCTGATTTAAGCCATGTTCAAGACATATTTATGCTGGTAGGTGGCTGTCCTGTATCCCAGATTTATCTGGGAAATCCATAAGTAGAGGAACATGAGGTTGATAATCATCTTCCACTGTGGTTCTCTTGCAGCTAGTATGCAAGTCATGCTGTCTTCAGTATGCCATCAGGAATATTAGCAATTAATATCCCTATTCTCCATGAATATTACTAGTTCATTTTGAATTAATGTAAATTAGTGGCTATCAATTCTATAGTTTAGGAACTGTGCAAGGAATGCCTTTCTTTTAATACTCTTGAATCTGCCTGCATTCTGGATTCTGAATTCTAAAACTGGGAGTGAGGGAGAAAAACATCTCTCAGATGTTTTCCACAGTATGCATGATTTTATGTACTCTACTGTATTTTCTTCCCCTCTAAGCTAAAAAGTACCTAATGTGGCAATCTTTTCTTCATGAGCTGTTCTTGCACCCTAATAATTTAAATTCTTTTTGCCCATTATTATTATGGTTGCACAGTCAGCCAGATGTTTAGACTGGATTTGGCTTTTTTATCCACCTGGGATAAAGGACCTGGGATAGGCAGATGTTGTTTGATGGTGTTAAAGGTATTGTCACAGGATGTAAG